AAGGAGATGGAGGCCGCTTCTGAACGTGCTGGGGGTGTGTACAGTGTTATTTTTGCTGTGGTATAAATTTTACCTCCCCACGTGGTCGGGGCTACAGTCAAATGATAAAGGGGTAGAATTATGGAAATGGGCCCAGACTTTGGAAGAAGGGAAAACATCTGGGGACTTGTCTGACTGGACTGCGAGACGAGAGAAAGTGCGGGACGCCTTCATCGTCAGTTGGGAAGGATATGAAAAGAACGCATGGGGTAGGTCATACAGCAGACTTGTGTAATATCAGAGTGCTGACACTTTTATCCAGGATATGACCAGTATCGTCCAGTATCAAACGTCAACCAAGAAGACACGAGTGGCGGATTAGGTTGGATGATAGTTGATTCGCTGGACACATTGATGATCATGAATCTTACCTCGAAGGTCCACCGCGCGCGGCAATGGATCTCAACATCGTTGAATTACGATCAGGATCGTAATGTTAACACGTTTGAGACGACTATCCGCATGCTGGGTGGTTTGCTGTCTGCACACTATCTGTCAACCCAATACCCCAATTTGGCGCCCCTCAGCGACGATGATGTCGGCGCTGACGGTGAAGATCTTTACATCGAGAAAGCAGCTGATCTCGCTGAGCGGTTACTCGGAGCTTTTGAGTCTCCAAGCGGTATCCCATGGTCGAATGTCAATCTCAACTCGTCAGCAGGCGTTGTCGTGCATTCCGATGAGGGAGCTACGTCTATTTCCGAGGCTGGCTCACTGCAGCTTGAATTCAAGTATTTGGCCAAGCTGACCGGTGAGGCAGAATATTGGAAGTTGGTTGAGAGAACGATGAAGCTGGTTGACCTGCAAAAGCCGCAGGATGGCCTTGTCCGAACTGCCATTCATCCTGACAGTGGTGCATTCAAAGGAGAAAGCATTACTCTGGGTAGTAAGGCAGATTCTTACTATGGTATGTTGGTGACACTCGGTGCTCCGTGGTTCCTTTAAGCTGACTCGCGCTAGAATATCTCATCAAGCAATACCTGCAGACCTCAGGACAGGAGCCCATCTACAAAGAGATGTGGGACGAGGCATTGAGAGGCATCCGCAAGCACCTGGTCTCATTCACCAAGAACTCCCAACTGATGATTATCGGCGAGCGGCCCCAGGGCCTAGACCAGGACCTCTCGCCTAGGATGGACCACCTGGTCTGCTTCATGCCCGGAACAATCGCGCTCGGCGCGACCGGTGGTCAGCCCTTGTCCAAGGCCCGAAAGTCAGCGGATTGGACTCAACAGCGGGAGGACGAGATTCTCATGTCCAAGGAGTTAATGAAGACCTGCTGGGCAATGCACAAGGCAACGGCAACTGGCCTCGCAGCCGAGATCTCCCACTTCGTCCTAGACTCGCCACCCGTGATGATGGCAGACAAGTACCCCGATCCAGTGACGAACCCTAATCGCGCATCCAAGCCCGAGGCACTACGCGGTATCTCTAAGCCTCTAGAGGCGCAAAGCGACGCGTCCGAGTCCTGGCGCGGGGACATCGATATTCACCGCAATGACCGCCCCAATGTACAACGCCCGGAAACAGTCGAGTCCCTCTTCTATCTCTACCGTATCACCGGCGACGACATCTACCGTCAATGGGGCTGGGAAATCTTCAAGTCTTTCATCAAACACACAGCCGTGGTCGAGAAGAAGAGTACCTCCCGTATTCCTGGGTCAACCAATACAGCACCAGTTCTCCGTATTAAGGGATTTACATCGCTTGGAAACGCGGATGCAGTCCCTTCATACAAGCGCGATAATATGGAGCGCTATTGGATGGCTGAGACGCTCAAATATTTCTACTTGTTGTTCTCGGATCGTGATTTCATCTCCCTGGAGGATCACGTTTTCAATACTGAGGCCCATCCATTCCCGCGGTTCAAGCCTACCGGGGATCTCAAGACGGGTTGGGAGAGGGCGCCTAGGCAGTAGATATGCTAGGTATAGCCTTGGTTGTTTATGGTTTTGATGTCTCTCATGTCTTTTGTACCACGCTTTTTTCCTGTGATTCTACGTTCGTGTTCTGGGGAAGCCTAGATCTGTATACCAACCTTCTGTACATGACTAATTATACTCTTCCGTAAGCGATACTCCTTGCATAGGTATTTGGTGACATAGAGATAGCATATAATATGTATAGTCAGGCCACCACCTTTATGTCTGTAGTGACTTTAGATAACGTCCGAGGCAAGATCTAGTAGCCGAACTTATATATACACAGCACTAGATATCACACCCGTATCAAGATAGATACTATGTAAAAACCGATCAATCATACGGCCACGTCGTTCTTCGCCTCTCTCTCCAGCGCAGCCTCAATCAGCGTTTTATAACCAACAACAGCATCCTTCAGCTGGCGGATGCTCAAGGCCTCATTATCACCATGAGCAACAAAGATACTGCCAGGCCCATACAAGTAGCGCTTGACATCAGGACCAACAGCCAGGTTCGGCACATCAGTACCATAGTTAACGGTAGTAACATTGAACCCATCAACATCAACATCCAAATCCTGCGGCGGGTAAGATTCACCATGCGAAACAAAGTCCAAAACAACCTCCGCCTCAACATCCTTCACAGCCTTCTCAACAGCGCGCTGAATAATCTCACGCGCCTCAGCAGGCGTACCAGCCGCAAGTCTGACAGCAACATCCGCCCACGCCTCAGAAGGAACAACATTCGTCGCGACGCCAGCGCGAATAACGCCAATATTCAGCGTCGTGGGTCCGTACTTCGGGGATGCAGGTAAGCCACCCTCTTCGGCGGGAATGTTACCAAGCACGTCAACGCGTGAGAGCGCAGGCAGAATCGCAGAGACGGCGCTCTTGCCCAGCCACGGGTATCCCGAGTGTGCGGCGCTGCCGTGAGCGAGAACCTTGAAGCCGAGCATGCCTTTGTGGCCGGCGACGAGAGCAGCCTCGGTTGGTTCGCCGAAAATGATAGTTTTGAAAGCGTTTTTGGCGTTGAGGGTTGAGTTTGAGAAGACTTTCATGCCGTCGCCGCCGATTTCTTCGCCAACGACGAAGAGTAGGCCAAGCTTGGCATCTGGGGTTGAGTTTAGAGTTTCGAGGGTTGCGAAGATCTGGGCTGCGACGCTGCCCTTTGCATCGACAGAGCCACGGCCTCCTAGGATGATGTCCTCTGGGTCGACGGTTGAGTCGGCGGTGGACTGGTGCACGGAGTATGGGATGAAGGGTGGGACGGTGTCAATGTGGCTTGTGAGAAGAATTGAGGGGGGTTGTGTGTAGGATTTTGGAACAGCATAGATGTTGTATCGGGTCTTGGTATCTTCTTGTCCTTTCACTGGGGGCACCTCTTGCTTTACCACATTGAAGTCCCGGGCCTCTAGGTATTGCGCGACGAAGAGACCGACATCGTGCTCGTTGCCAGAGATTGACTCGATCTTGACTAGATCTCGGTGGAGAGACAGTAAAGGGGAATCGCTGATTATATCATCTAGGCCTGCTTGGCTGTAGCTGGCCTGGGACGGTGTGGATGGCACCCCCAGGAGCTGTTGCTGTTGAGGTGCGGGGTGCGGAGAAGCCTGAGCACCGGATATGATGGCCGCAGCCGCAAGATATGAGAACTTCATTGATTTTGGATTATGTATATGTTCCAATGATTATGTGTTGTGTATCCGAAACAATTGAATGACTCCAGCACCCAGAGAGGTTATTTTGGCTTGAATAGGTCCGATGTCCGAGATCGGAAACAAATCCGTTGTCACGTGGATAGATATCAAAACAGAGCAGTCGAGGACCAGGATCAGAAGAAGAAATCGAACGGTTTCAATCCAATTGCATATCAGCGATGTCTCATTTTATTGTGTCGTTGTCTTGAATAGCCCTGATTCATGCCAGTCCGATCGATTTCAGATATTTGAAACCCCCAAGATCTATATTTTTGTTCAAAAATGAAGTACAGATCGGTATTCGGCTCATCATTGAAGAGCGTTGCACAAGAAATGAGAGCGGCGTGGAGATCTGGCCATCGGTATATCTCTACAAAAAGGCAAGACCGAGGAGGCCTTGGAAAAGACCCAGAGTATCAGAGTTGGTTTGTTATTTAGGTGAAAAGGGGTAGACTACCTCCATACTATCTATCAAGATTGTACATCTAAAGAATTACATGCAAAAGATCTGCTAGTAAGTAGTTGATAGTTCTACGCTTAAAAAAGAAAAGAAGAGATTGTGTACACTTTGTAGTTAGGCGTTACAATAAATCGTAAAGGACAGGTCAGATCATGAACATACCCACAGATATCTACATCGTACAGACATGCATGGTCATTTGTAGATCATCGCTTTACCAAGATCTCTTGTAACGCGAATCTATATGAGGGACATGAATTGGGAACCTGACATGATGCATGGCTACATATACAGGTGATCAATTGGTCACAGCATACACACAGGACAACCATTACCGGCTTAAATCATCCCAGGTTTACATAGTGATCTTTTGATAAACCATATTCTGTGTGGGGCCCACCTACGCTGAGATATAGACACCCCTTGCTTATGTTGTATATTTCCAAGTTCGGCATCAAGACCCCGGAAGATGGAAGAGATCGATTGTTATGAAGCCAGAACGAAGTATAGTAATGCTCGGCACGCGGAATAAACTCTACATTAAGTAGGAGTGGAAGTAGTGTCATATAAGCAATGATCTACACGTTCATGTTACTTGCTCTCATAATGTATAAGCAACATATGCTATACCAAATATATGGTACACAACGTCAGTAATGAATATTGACTCGCCACTTCGGTGACACCCTGAGCGAACAGTATCTAGTCTAGGTAAACAGCGGTCCCTGGAAGTATGCATATCGGGTATAAATATGGATTATACGTCCCCTTGAACTGGATAGTTCCCAGCACATCGCATTGTTCTATTCAACATCCCCCAGCAATCTTATTGCATCAGTTTGACTTGTTTCCCGGAACACAAGTCTGCGATCCAGACAAGAGCATGGAGTCTCATCGGAAAAGACTGCTTGCGACAACGGTCGATGAGCGTGCTGAAAGCAGTACCAATCAGGTATTTGCAGTTATTCCACGGGGATCGGAAATAAGTGATGGATTCAAAAACTTTTCATTCAAAGACCTGGCATGGGCCGTGAACTTCACCTGTTGGTGGATTGAAAGCAACATTGGACCGGCTCAAGATCCAGAGACATTGGCCTATATGGGGAGAAACGATGTGCGCTACTTCATCTTTATGCTTGCATGCCAAAAGACTGGATACCAAGTAAGACAACAAAGCAACTCAAGCTAAAGATAGAACAGTCGGACTGATCCATATAGGTTTTCTTGCCTTCCACCAGGAATTCAGACGAAGCCCATGTGCATCTACTGAAAGTGACAAACTGCACCAAGTTCTTCTTCAGCGAGGAGCGCCAGGCACGAGCCTTGGAAATCCAGGGGCTTGTTTCGACATTGGATATCTTTGAAGTCCCGACTCTGGAGAATATACTCAGTGATGAAAGGGGTCTGCGCCACTATCCGAATACCAAGTCTTATGCGGAGGCAGAGAATAACGTAGCGTGCATCATCCATAGCTCTGGGACGACAGGTAAGCCCCATCAACATGGTACTGTGAACCCGCATTAATTTCTTCGACAGCCATGCCAAAGCCGGTATATCTCACTCACGGCTTCTTCATGACCGTCGAATTTCATCGTTATCTCCCAAGGCCGGTAGGCCGTCGGCTATGTATGTACTATGAGCTGGATCACGGCGACCTGGTGCTGGCCACGACGCCTATCTTTCATCTAATGGGACTGGCACCACTCTTAATCTCAGTGTGGTTCGGATTTCCCACCCTCATTAGGCCAGACAAGCCACTCTCCGTCGAACATATGATAGAGCTAATGCGCACTGCCCATCCCACAACCGCAATCTGTCCACCCTCGATCCTGGAAGACATGAGCCACTCCGACAAAGCACTGGCTTGTTTGAAGGAATTCAAGGCAATGTACTTTGGTGGTGCTCCGATTTCTTTCGAGGCCGGAGAGCGAATACGCAAGTATACGGAGCTGATAATGATGATGGGAAGTAGTGAGGCCGGCATAATTCCAGCGTTGGTGCCGGAGGATCCAGCCGACTGGAACTACATCGAATGGAACGAAGCTCACGGCGTGGAAATGCAAGAAGCTGGCGAAGGCTTATTCGAGATGGTGATTCCTCGGCGGGGAAATGCTCGCGACCTCAAGAGTATTTTCCACACATTCCCCGACATTGATTCTTATCCAACCAACGATCTTTATACACGGCACCCGACACATCCGCGACTGTGGAAATTCCATGGGCGTAAGGATGATGTGATTGTGCTAAGCAACGGAGAGAAGTTCAATCCTGTTGGGATGGAGACTATCATTGAAGGACACCCGCTGGTTGGACACGCGGTGGTAGTTGGCCAGTCTAGATTCCAGGCTGGGCTTCTCATCGAGCCCGGTCATAGAGGACAGGATATGGACGAGAAGGTGATGGTTGATAATATCTGGCCGACAGTGCAAGTGGCTAATGAGAGCATTGCAAGTCATGGGTGGGTGATGAAGAACAAAATCAGGTTCGCAGTGAAGACGAAGCCATTCAAGACGACCCCTAAAGGGAGCGTGCGGCGCCAAGCTGTGATTCAAGACTACGAGAAAGAGATTGATGCATTGTATGCCGAAGACCTTGAGAATGACTTGGACCAGTGCTTGCCAGAGACATTGGACCGAGAGAGTGTTACAGGGTATATTCACCAGATCATTACCCATGTCCTGGAGAAACCCAAGATTGCAGAAACTCAGGACTTTTACTCTGCCGGTCTTGATTCCCTGATGACCATTCATGTCTCTCAGATGCTGCAAAAGAGCATCCAGTCACGCCGGCCGGATGTGAAAGCAGGAACTATCAATGCCCAAACTATCTACAATAACCCAACAGTCGATCGCTTGTCTAGAGTCCTGATGGCTATCTTAGATGGGGGAGCCCAAGCTGAGATCCCGCGAACAGAAAAGATCCAGAGACTGGTGGAAAAGTATACGTCCGATCTTCCAGCGCGGGAAATCTTCCTCGAGAATGGATTGCATTCGCCTTCGACCGTGATCCTGACCGGCTCCACTGGCTCACTGGGGACCTATCTACTGCATTCTCTGCTGAGCAGCGATTCCATCACTAAAGTCTACTGCCTCAATCGTTCGGATGGTGAATCACGGCAGAAGAAAGGCTTCGAGGAGAAAGGACTGCATCTCAACACAAACGACTGGAGGGACAAGGTCGAGTTCCTACAAGCCTCATTCGGAGAGCCGCGATTCGGCCTGAACGAGTCCAAGTACGAAGAACTTCTCGACTCAGTTGACACCATCATCCACAACGCCTGGAAGGTCGACTTCAACCATTCGGTCGATTCTTTCGAGGACACCCACATCCAGGGTGTGCGACGCTTTATCGACTTCAGCTTGAGCAGCCGCAGCAACGCTCATGTTCACTTCATCTCCTCAATCGGCACGGTAGGCGCTTGGACCCCAGAAATGGGAGCTTTGGTCCCAGAAGTACCGATGGAGGACATTTCAGTGGTCCTCCCACAAGGCTACGGCGAATCCAAGTACGTTGCCGAGCGCATCTGTCTCGAAGCCTCACAACGATCCCAAGTCCCGACATCGGTTCATCGCGTCGGACAGATCGCCGGACCGACCACCACGCGCGGACAATGGAATAAGCAGGAATGGCTACCGACGATCATCGTGACGTCGAAAGCAATGGGTAAAATCCCTAACCGACTCGGCTCGACCGCGGTCGACTGGGTGCCAGTGGTAAGCCGAAATCCCGAGCACTATATATCGGACCAGGTTCAAAATTTGGGCCGGAGGAAAAAAAGAGGCCAAGATCTACCGCTGATCACTTTATTAATTTGCTTTAATTAGGACACTCTATCCAATATTATAGTGGAGATTGTCAACACACGTCATATGAGCTCAGCCGACGAGCGCTGGGCCGTGTTTCATCTCACGAATCCTGAACGAGCACCATGGTCGTCCTTGGTGCCTGCTATCCAGAGCCACTATGCCGTCGAGCCAGTTCCGTTTTCCGCATGGGTTGCTGAGCTGGAAAGCATCACTAGCCCTAGTAGTGCGGATATTGCCTCGAAGCCCGCACTCAAGCTTCTGGATTTCTACCGTGGGATCCAAGACGAGGACAGTGCATTGTCTGTGGCGCTGGATGTCCGACGGGCGAGAGAGGCTAGTGTCAGCATGAGAGCCCTCGGCCCGATCTCTCCTTCGCTCATGCGAAATTGGATACAGCAATGGCAATTTTGATTAGTTTAGATATCTCAAATAATACAATATATGGAGTACGGGGTAGATGAATTCCAATGTCCAAGACTATCTATATCGCCATGTGGGAGGTGTTGGAGGGGTCAAAAACATGACATAACGGTCCGAGATCGGAAGTGTGCCTTCCTAATTAGGCGATTACCTCAGCAATCCACCCGATTAGGTTCTTTTTTTTTTCTTTGCCGAGTGGCGGTGATTGGCCACTCCCGCGAACAGATCCAGTTCTACGGAGTATGTCATTTTGGACTGCAGGTCTGTTCTGTCCTAGTAACCTGCAGGGATGCTTCTAGCGAGAAAGAGGATCGGAGAGATCTCCAGGGGAAGAAGACAAAGAATCTGATCTGTCACAATAATCAAGTCACCTGACAATGTCTACAACCTAAGGGAACCACAAAGTTGACTCGAGCAAGTCCCGTTGATAAAGCCGAGAATCTTGGCTGCGCCAAGACTCGCCTTACGCCCCCAAGTTAAGGCACACCCCAAAGCCCTGAAGTACGGACTGGCTTACCCTTTCCTCTTTTGCCTCTGGAAAAATGGAATGTTCCCCGAAATCCCCGAGTATGGTTCCAGCCATGTGGACCTGACGTGTGCCAGAAAGTGAAAGTGAAAGGATTTGCCGATTTCCCCTCCATCCCAATGATTCTTATTGGATTTCCCATCTCCGGACTGTCACAGTCCAGGTCTCGTTCGGAGTTCGTACAAGTATATCAATCTATACCCAGCACCTGGATTTCGAACCGACAACCCTCTAAACCCTTGTGCAACCCTCCTCGTCATACTCGGACAAAGTTCTGACTTCTACGGGACGGGACCTTGTCCGCAGTTGCTCAGCGTCTCCAAACGGGTGTGGATGCACCAGGCCGTCGAAGGGGATGGGTATGCCTCATTGGGCCGAATGATAACCGACCTCGGGAGTAAACAGATGAATCAATAAGGATAAGGGTATCCAAGATGCTCTATAAAGCGAATCAACACCGGGTGACTGGGTCGAAATGGCATCATAATGGTTCCCTGTATCCACTTTAGTCTAGATTGTTTAGATTGCCGATCGCACACACAGGTTTTTGTAGAGGCTACACAACGTATCTGTGTAGCCGTTTGAAAACAAGTAGGATAGCTTTATATATGTAGATTGGAATAGGTACATTTACATGTATGCTGGATGTAAATAAATAGATGAAAGATAATCAGAATAATAAAAAAGAAAAAAGAAAAAAGAAAAGAGTTCCAGATTCTTACATACCACGGTTCAAGAACATGTCAACCACCGGAACTGAGCGGAGTAAGCCATGGAAATATTTTTAAACTCGCGAGTTTAGTCCGTTGTTGTGTTAGTCAACTTTTGGAGAATCGGATGGAATTTGTCCAACTCGAATTCGACACCCTTTCTCTTCCTTCTCTGAACCTGTACTACCCAGGATCTCCCTGTTCGCCAGTCCGTTTGCCGATTGTAAGTAAAGAAAAAGCACTTTCCTGCCCAAGTTGACAAGACCAAACAAGTTGGTCCACGTCACTCGAAATTCATTTATTGTTTTTTTGTTTTTTGTTCTATATTTCCTACATTTGGACTGTTTTTCCACCTGGACGATAATCAGCGTTGCCTCACCGGATGCTAACTGGTAGACTTCAGTTCCCGCCTTTCCCGGACTATTATACCCATCACACCGCTACCGGTTTCCGCCCAAAGCCTGAGGGAATGACTTGTTCAAACTGAACCGTCTCTTTTATCTTGTGGTCATCCCTCACATCCAATGCTGAACTGCAACCTATCCCCTTATACCAGCCACCCCGTTCAGCGGCTCTCACCTCAAAATGTATAAACTGTCTCAAATAATCGACGCGACACGAGAAAGTCTCGACGCGGACTCACGCCAGCCGCACTCCCCATTGACTATTAATACCTCTGCGCCGGCTTCACCTGCCATCTCTTTGTTCTCTGCGACAGGCCACAACCGGGTCTCCAGCTCGGTCTCTTCCCTCGTCTCTTCATCGGGTCTGGGAAATTCAATGGACAGTCCCAGTCGGAGTCAGTTGACCGGAGTTAAAGAAGAAGAATGCACGCGTGACTCGTTGGAAGATCACTATTTCCGTATGTGTTCATCGCCACTGCCAAAAAAAAAAAAATCCCCCCGGTACCACAGTTGCTAACATCGGACTTTCTATAGAACATTTTGATTACGACATGTCTGCAGAAGAGTCATACTTTACTCCCGCCGATAACTCAGATAGCTACGATCTGAGCGTTACGAGCGTGGAGACTGCCCCATCACCGAAAAAGAGACGCTCAGACAGTGTCTCAATAAAGGGTGCCTCGCGCATTAACTCCCATATCTCGACCATGTCAGCCCGGTGGAAGACCAAACGATCCTCCGGTGGTGCAGAAGGCGATATTTTCCCGGATGATCTACGATCACGCGCAAACTCGGCGGCCTCCTCCGCCTTGGCAAGCCCTGTCGTTGGTTCGATGCCCATGAGCCGGGTCGACTCGATTCCCCCCTCTCCCGCGCGGACGATCTTCGAAGAACGCGCGAGCGAGTCTGGCGTACGCCCCATCGATATCGCCCGAGCAAACAGTCTCAGCCAGGATGACAACGATATACAAAAAGCGACAACCCCTCTCCTGCCACCGTTTATGGGAGACGACCCAACAAGCGTCGCGGCATCACGCGTCCAGTCACCACTACAGTCTCCCTCTGTGGCAGACATGAACGAATCACACCATAATTACAATGTGACCTCCGACCCACGGTATATGGGAATCCTCCCCTCGCCACCACTCTCGTCCAAGCCCTCCGTGGCCTCATTCAACCGACCACGAGCCAGCACCGTGCGCACAGTCTCAGGCGACGTGACACCCCTCGTCCTCTCCGACCCTAACGACGAATGGGCCAACAAACTCGGCCACGCCAATTTCACCATCACTCCCGAGCCTTACGACCCGGCGGTTTGCGACTTCGACCATTTCCAGCAGCTACGTGCTGACTGGGACATTGCGCGTTGCAACTTTGCCAAGCATCTTGTCCGCACTGGCGAGCACTACGGTGTCACTTCAAACATTTACAAGCTTACCGTGGAGAAATGGGAGTCGATCAACCGCGAATGGACAACGCAGCACGAGACCATGCTCGACCAGCTCAGCGCTATTGACGGTGTTGCTCTCACGCTCACCCAGTCTAATACCCACCCTTGCCAACAACTCCGTATCCCGCGTCTACATGACAACGACAAGTTCCCCGATATGGGGGATGAGGATATTGTGGGCCCAATGACTGTGGCACCGGCTACGGAGATTGCAGGTCCCTGCCGTTCTGAGAAAAAGAGGAATTTCTTCCGATTTTTCCAGGATTTAGTCTCCCGACCTTGAGACTTGAGTCATTTCGTTGGGCTCAGGTTCTTTTCATTTCATTTTTCTCACTTTTTTCGAGCGATCCGCAACGATAATGACGATAGAATATTCCCCGCGCGCCTTCTGATGACTTCAATCTCGCCCGCACTGTTACGATTAATGTCTCTCCTTTGGTTATTTCTTTCTTTGATCTTTTTGAATGTATCTATAATGACTCTTACGACTTCACGATCCGGATCAGCGACTACTGTTCTCGCCCCGAATCATGTCTTTCCTTCGTCTATATCCCGAGTCTTGTCTATCCCGGGATTATCTTTTCCATTTCTTGATCCTGATGTCTACATTTCCTAAGACATCACACTTGCTTCAACAGTTGACAAGAAAAGGAAAAGTCAATGCCCCTTACTGACTGGGTGTATGCACCCTTCCTCTCATTCATGTCTCCATTACACATAACTATACCCCCCATACACCAAGCCTCCCAGCCGTTGTACCCCATAGACTTCAACCCTATCCACCCATTCTGTTCCACAGAGAACAAACCAAAAAAGCATCTGAAAAAAGTACCATATCCTTGTTTCCAATATGTACATATCTTCAATTACACATATGATTATCATATGGACATGTCTATAATTATATCTATATTACAATTCTCGAACAACGTATAATCCTACTGTGCCTGTCATTGGAAGAGATAACACGGCAATAGAACCTGGGAGACACGACTGTTGAAGCGGGAAGTGCGTGTGGACGAGTCACATGTAGGTGTACAACAGTACTGGAGAGTGACTTGGTAGTGTGGGTCGGCCACGTTGTGAAGCTACCGCCATTTGAACATAATGTGTATAGTATACCGACATGAACACCTGTGGGCTTCATGTATCCACTTGAGACATGTACTGACACAATTGAGCTTAGTGCGAGTGTCGTGGTGCCTGTACCTGTCTGTGCCGAGGCTTGGCAAATAGGGTGTTTTCTTCCGTTGATATTGTGAGTCAGAGTCGTTTTCTCGGAGTCAGATGGCGTGTGGTCTGGTAGAGTGGGGATTTCAGGTAACAGTGGAGGTGAGTACACTAAGTGTTTTTTATGTGTGTGTATTTGTGTACTAAAGTGCGATATTGGTCGCTTCCTACCCCTAACATATACCGACATGTGTGTATTCTGTAGGTGATGTAGTTATGCGCTCAATCTGGAAGTATGTAGGTCATGTCTGAGAGCTTTGTTATAACACATACAATATATCCCAGATTCGCATCTCATACCCTTCCATCAGGGTCCACCTCAAAGCTGAGAAGGCTTTGATCTAAGATTACCACAGAACCGAAACATGCATTGACGCAGTCGAGATCAATATTCGCGATTCTACGTCAGGTGAAACCCAATCAACAGGTAATAGGTCTATAGACACGAGCCGTGTTTCAGATTCAACATATACAGCTAAAGAGATCCAAAATGAGCATGAGAACAATGCAGACGTAAGCATACGCCACGGAAAATCAGCAGGCGTATATACTAGTCTTGGTCATTGGTTTCAAACCCAGTACTGACCCCAAAGACCTTTTGCTTCTTCGCTGCCGTGGAACTGGAACTCGACGGGGATGATGTCGTCGAAGCCCTCGTCCAGCGTTGGTGCGCGGAAGCGGCGACCGAAATCGCCAAAGGCGATGCCGGGGAGGGAGGTTCGGGATTCGGGGTTCTGGTTGGGATGAGAATGAGAATGAGACAGTGGTGGAGGTGGGGATATTGCCAGGACATACCAGTTCTTTGTTGGACGCTCGGACGGCGTTGTTGTGCTTGCATAGGTCTGGCGTCGATATGAATTGTACGCAACGGATAGGGATGTTCAGCTCTTTTGCGAGAGATGTCCAGTGAGATCGTGTCTCTGGGTCGGCATTCGTATTATCTGGGTACCCGTGTTAGATCGCTTGGAAATGAAGCTGAAGCTGAGATTTGAGAAAATAATTGCCATGACGTACCGACTGCCACAGACTTCTTGGCTTCCAAGTGCTCGCGAGCGACCTTGAGACATTTCGGACGCTGTTGTCCGTCAGAATTTGAGTTTAGTTTGATTTCGGGTTGATTGTAACCACATACTGTCTTGAGAAGATCTTGGTTGACTCGTTCATAGCCTAGAGGCTCCAGGTGATTCCAATAGAAAGTGGACTTCCCGGCACCTGGGCTGCCACAAAAGATAACCAGTTCAAGTGGGTGCTTGCGAGTGAAGGGTTTGGCTGCGATGAAGACCTGTCAACAATCTGGCGGAGTCGGGATTCTTGTGGGGGATATCAAGTTCATTGAAAGTAAGAAGAAAGCACATACCCGGCTCTTCGAGATCCGACTTCACAAAGGACATAGGGTCAAAGCCCATCGTCGCCGGCTCCGTGATCTGGCCGAGGAAAAACTCCTCGGGAGTCTTGAATGGCATACCGATGTTGGTAGCAAGTCCCCTATAGCCAAAATGAGATTTTGTCACAACATACTACTAACAGTGAAGGTGCTCTTACCGATCCACAGCCGAATGATCACCCGGCCTGCCAGCCGCATCGCCGACGAACACAGACGCGGGCAAGTCAACACCCGCAACGTCAAGATCATAGTCGTCCAGGAACTCGCGCCACATCCCGAGACGGGGTTTCCTATATTCAGGGTCTGTTGTGGCCGCGTAAACGCTGACGGGGAAATCCAGTTCCGTCATGACAGCAGTCATCTTTTCCTTGAAATTTGACAGACTTTTGGAGTCACTGCGTCCGCCTTTGATATCCTTCTGGACACTGATCTTCTTTTGGTTAGAGAAGATTACAACTTGGAAGCTGTCAAAGTGTAAGCTCGAGTGAACACAAGTAATCCCCATACCCTGAGTCTAGACGTACCCTTCAGCATTAAGCTCCTTCAATCGCCCTGGAACTTTGGCGTTCCACCATTGCCAATCAGTGGCAGATTTGGGAAAGACATTTCCCGATTTGGTTTTGATTAAGGTCGAGTCCTATATCGTAACGTCAGCTGGGCCCTTCTCTGGACAATATCTGTTCAAGTGTTGGTTTAACTACTGACCAAGTCAAATCCAGCAATTCGGCGCTGTTTTTCAGTGGGAGGGCCTGCTTTTCCCGTTGTCTGCTTTCCGATGATGACACTTGTGCCGATGACGCGCCATGTGATGGGGTCGGGCTTCTTTTGCGAGGCCGGCGTGAAGAAGTTTGCTGCTGTTCTCTCTTTACATCGATTGCTATTAATAGATACAATATGCTAGTGAATAGTAAGACTCACTGGTTATCGTCGAGTCAACCTTGCGCCGCAATGGTGGTGGAGAGATGGGTTGGGTGGGGGAGGCGCTTCTCTTGGCAGCCCCCTCGGCCATTCTGACTGTTCGGGTGAGTGAAAACGTCGTGAAGGGTTTTTAGAAAGATTTGGTGTGGTTGTTGAATCGAGCGGTCTTCGCAGCGAGTTGCAGTTGACTCTGAGGTGTTGGACGCGCGCCGGGACGCGGCAGCAATCACGAAGTCACATGTTCTGAACATTTGAAGTGAATGGTATACAGACAGGTGTGCGCTATTCAAATATGAGATATAAGACCAAAGAAACGATGCGAGAAAGAAGCAATGACGGCCTCCTTTTGAGACAGACATGAAGACATCTCTTTTTGACCCGACTTGACACGAAGTATGGATGATTTCGGCCCAAAATGCACGGCGAGCTCGAATGAATAACTCCAACCTAGCATATGGACTTTCTAGTTTCCACCTTTCTGTTTTTTTTTTTTTTTTAGGTGATGTTCCTCTAGGTAGGACGCAGATGAGATTTTACCTACTCAGCTATGTCCTACCCGGACATCAGGATAGGCATTGGTGCTTTACTTATGGAAACTATAGTAAGGTTTGGCTCATACTATCTCTCCTCTCACTCTGGGTCTGGGGAATTGAAATATGCAGTGGACTTGATTGCTATGGTGGGTATACTTTTTTTTTTTTTCAATCAACGCCATATCATCGCTGGAGATGGGTATTTCGTAGTCTCCAGCATGCTGAAACGAATCAAAGTAGGAGTGGACACCTACTTCGCTCGTGTATCAAGAGACAGTCGATCTGCCTGCTCCAGGAGAACCGCCGATTTTAACTGTTCGCGCAACCCAAAGAGATGCTGCGAGGCAGTTTTCATCGTCTCCTGGTTGCTACCGTCTTGGACAATGATAAAGGCCTGCAGCACATAGCTTCCGCTCTTCTCAAATAGAGTCATGTCCTTCAAAGCAGGGAGCTGCCGCCGGGGCACATTCAACTCATCCGCACCCGGGTAGTGCAGCACGCGATGCAAGAAGATAGCAATGTCATTGTGGATGAACATATCACCTTCAACCACATACTCAGTAGTGAAACTAGAGATAGGCGGGGTTAGTTCCCGCGATCATAAGATCGACTCGATGGCGCCACTTACTGATAGCCCCACGCATTCATAGCTTGCACGACATCTCCCCGCGGCAGCGTAGCGCTGGACATCAGACGCGAGGTAACCGCCGAGCGGGTGCCAGCTTCCGGGATATCACGGAACTCTAACTTCCATGGCTGACGTTCATAGTCGTAAGATGAAGAAGGCTTCGAGTCGTCCATGCCGGCCATTTGAGTATCTTGATCGACGGGGGCAGTGGAGCCGAAATCCGTTTCGGAAACCGGACCAACCACCTGTGTGTAGTACATGTTCCCATTGAGCATCTTGTTCAGCCGCTGCAAATCAGCCTGTTGAAGGTCCTGACTGGCTCCGGTGCGCCCCGCCAACCCTGGTTTACGGTAGGCTTTGAAGATCAACCGCCGCTCTAGGCAATGGCGGGGCTGCATGGCCGTCAATCCGGCAAGCTGCTGCAGAAGCTCATGATGTTGGTGGACTGGAACCGAGGCGAAAAGCGACTGCTCGTGCATATTGATATGTGTAAGGTAACGGGAGCGGGTGAATCCGGGATGTGTTAGTCAGGGTCCAAGCTTGAGTGGCGCAATGTTATCAGAGATCAGATTATTTTTATGTGTCGCTGATATTGCTAATAGCGTCTAATAGTCCTGTTTGGTCTGTTTGGTCTGTTTGGTTCTCTTTCTTGGCGATGTCTTCAATGTGTCCACTGTGTCCAACCTGGGACTTTTCCGATGCTTGTGAAACCCTCGAATATCAAATCCGGTGCACAGATAACTTCAAGATGTCCAGATGTTATCCAGTCACAAATCTGGAATGGACTTTTGCCTCCGATTGCGGGGGGAGGTCTGTGTGGACAAATAAGCTTGAATTGGTTTATGGGGAACAGCAGATTGTCCACAGACCGGGGTGATGATTGGGGGGATTGGGGGGATTGGAGGTTCAAAGAACGCGAAAAGTAGGCGTCAGGCACCGAAAAGGCACCGAAATGGGGGGAGGAGCTCCCTAATGAACTCACCGGAATCACAAATGGGGGAAGGATCAGAGGGGCATATATGGCTTCACTTGATTGCCGGCCTTGGAAGGTAGAGGCGGCTTGCGGGGATGACTTTCCGATGCAAAGTACAAAAAGAAAAATGGCGTGACTTGTGTTTTATTAAGCATTGTACTCGGTTATACCGTGTACATATTTTACTATGATGCGCGTAGTAATAAATATTGTAGATGTACTCGATTATACCGTGTACACTGTACATAACCCGGTTCCGAATCGGCTCCCAATGCGGTAACTCTCCCTTCTTATCTTCTCTGCTTTTCCCACCTTTCCCCTCCTCTTCTTCACCTCAATTCTCTAATCCTTTAATTCTCTATTTCTCTTTACTCCAGCATTATCACTACGGTCAGAAACCATCCCTCATTCTCTTGTTGTGACTCCTCTCGGTCGGATTCGGATACTACCGGACCCGTTCAATTTCGCACATTCCCACGTCAAATTGATCTTGCCAACCTTCCACCTTTACACATAACCACCACATAACTACCACCATGCGTGTCACCTCCGTCCTCAGCAGCGCAGCGCGCACTCCTCTCATTCGCTTCGTTGGAAAGCGCTCTGTCCCTAGTATGTGAAATTTCCATCGCCAAGCTCCAAATTTCCCTAAGCTAACCCCCCAATTTTCAGAGTCCATTGACCACTCTCCTCGCGTCCACCCCGCTTCTCCCACCGGCTCTCTCCCTGATTCCTTCGCCACCTACCGTGCTAAGGCTCAGCAGCACGGCCCTCTCGGTCGTTCTTCTTTCAACGGCACCATCGGTGGCCAGCCCGGCGCCTCGCTGGGCCCTGTCAAGCCCCAGGCTGGCGAGTTCTTTGACCGATCTGAGCTCCCCTCCCGCTTCGGCCGTCTCCCCTGGACTCAGGCTGAGATGGAGGCCATTGAGACCGGCGGTGCCAGCATGTTCGCATAAGCTTTCCCTCGGGCAAATATTTTCTCTTTTTTTTTTTCTTTTTTTTCAAAACGTATGAATGGGGCATGATACTTCCTGTGGAAGTTGCATGATGAGCAGATTTGGGTCTTTTCGACTCTGCGGCTGGTGACTCGCGGTCATGATGTCGACTTTGGCCGACCGTTTCTCTGCCAATGCCCATGCGGTTGGGGACACAGACCTGATGCTTGCTCACTCGTTCCGAGAGTTTCCGAGACCAGAAACTCTCACCTTATACCTTGTTCCTTGTGATGGCCGGAGGCCATTGACAAGGACGTCTTTCTCTAGCGGTGATTCTTTGCCGCCTTTTTTTTTTTTTTTTTCTCTTGGAGTTTTCTTGTACCCGGCGCTGGTGGATGATTTTTCTCGGTGTTTTATTTCCATGCGCAACATGAAGCTGTATCGTCTTGATGTCGAAATGCGATTGTTCGTTCTATACATAGATTTTGGTCAGGAATTGGTTCCTGTTACATAGGCTCTGTGAGCACAATTCGAAGAAATGAATTTCTCGACTCAGCATTCCTAATCATACCCCAGAATATCCCTAGCTAGGTATGTAGATAGAGCTACATACTATATCGATAGGCGGAGCATTGATATCAATAGAAAGGTACGTGGTCTCAAGCACGTGCCTTCCCGACTCTACCTCGATCCGAGCAACCTTGTTTACTTTCACATCCCGAGGCCTGAACATGACCTCTCACAGTGAGACGAACAGGCTGACGTTCCAGGAGACGGATGAGGCTGGATATCCGACTGCAACTTACATCTACTCGGGAGATGTCGCTACCTCGGTCACTTCCTCAACGGCTGGACGCGTAGATCTAATCGTAAGTTGTCCGTCATTCCTTACTTCCCTGTATCTTTCTAGCACGGGTTGAAATAGCACATGGCACACAACTGAAGTTCCCACGTGTGGTCCTTCATGCCGAATAGGCCAACATCCCGGTTACCCCTAGGATACGTGTCAATAGCTTCACCATCTAGTCCTAGAACATACATACTCTCTTTTGCATGGAGTATATGACTTGTTCTCATTCAATCTCGATATATCATATGCTGGTTCAAACATAGATGCTATTGCTGATTTGGAAAGACCTGCAATGCTACAATAATATCTCAAAGCTCTCGACCTTAACTGACCTAGCATAACAGAGCTCTTCATCTACCTCATGGTCAGGCAAGCTCCTGGTTAGCTCGCTGAGTGATGTATTTTTGCCTTCTGGGTACCCCCAAAGTGTCAGCGATGACTATCTTCCGTGAGTGCAGACAGTAGCCTGTTGATATGCATGAAGCATTCCTCATCACGAAAAACGCTAATAACAAACCCAGATATCAAATCTTTGTGAGCATCCATTCCAAGTTGCCAGAGACAGAAACCTCATGGCTCGAACAACCTTGCTCTACCATCCCAAAAGCAATATCAAAGATACATCTAGAATACAGATCTGACACAAGCAATCCACCGCAAATAGGACTCTCTCCAAGCCTTCTGCAGCTCAATAGCAGGCCTCCTCTCCTCCAGAGCCGTCCTCCAAGGTCCATATCCCACTCTATAGACCAGACTTGAACCACGAGGCAACCAACTAACACCCAACCCAATATACAGGAGTCGGTGTAGGCAACGCCAACGCCTCTCCAACATCTGCACTACTCCTACACATCCTACAGGATATATCCGGCCGCATTGCAACGATATGCTTCGCCCACCGCATCGGCACAGCCCTCGAGCCAGAATGCAAAACCTACCGACTAGCAGCTGACGTCTTCAACGATATCGCTATGATCCTCGACTGTCTCTCGCCGGGTGTTCCCGCCGGACCGCCGAGGGTGATTGTCCTCAGCACAGCGGGTGTCCTCAGGGCTCTCTGCGGTGTAGCCGGGGGTAGCTCAAAGGCAAGCTTGAGTGCTCATTTTGCTAAATGGGGGAATCTAGCAGAGCTCAATGCCGTATGTTCCAATCTCAAATCCCATTATGCACCGTCTTTGGGAATTGATAGGCAGAGCTAACCTACTATATTCCATTGTATAGAAAGACTCATCCCAGGAGACTGTTATCTCTCTCTTCGGCATGCTGGTAAGCTCATCTCTGACACCCTCCTGACACCCTCCATTACGACCCAACCCTGACCACAACACTCCAACAGGTCGGATCCGTAGTAATCTCACACATAACCAGCTTCACCACAACCTGGCTCATCCTCCTACTCCTCCTAGCCCTCCATCTAAGCATGAACTACGCCGCCGTCCGCGCCGTCCAAATGACAAGTCTCAACCGACAACGCGCGAACATCGTCTTCTCGGCCCTCCTAGACTCAGACAAGAGTCTAGCACTAGCACTCGATATCGATGTTCCTCCTACATCTCCATCCAAAAACGAATGGACAATCCTCACTCCTGCACAGGTATCGAAATACGAGCGTATCTTCCACCGAGACGGCGCGTTACAGTGGACTCAGCACTCGGACACGGATATGACAACCCACCATCTAGGATCTGCGCAGATAGGCGTCTCGATGTCTACTTTCCTAGGCGGTTCCGTGTCTAGATCATTCAAACATACCCTTCCGCTCCAGCGCCTTGTGACTGTTTTCGCCGACGAGATGTACATCCTGTTTCTCGTACCGACGGAGACTGCGGGCGATGTCAAATGGGATGCATCGATTCTCCTGAAACGGGGCTGCGGTGTTGGGCAGCAGTTGAAGGGGTGGGTGCATGCTTTATTGGCTGCAAGGGTTTTGGGTAGGATGACGATTGGGTCTTCTGTCGATGTTGTTCTTGCTGTTGTTGAGGGGACACTTGCTTTGCTGAACACTGATTCTCGGTTTGAGAGGTACCTGACTCGGTTGAGGGGTGTTGGATGGGATATTGATATTGCGGCATTGGAGACGAGGAGTGGGAGGAGGATTGATATTTGATATTGGGTTATACATACACTTATACTTACACTTCTATCGTTGATTATTGCTTTCATTTTACGTCTGAATCGTCCTGGATGTATCTTATAACTGTAGCAGACGATAGTCACATCGATAATCAGGGCTATCCGAGTCGGATATTGCATAATCGAATGGTTTGTGGATGGGGGTTACGTGTGCATCTGTATAACCCTTGGAAGTCTATAGGTAAGTCTCCCCGGACTCTCCGACATGTCTTGAATGTGGTCCGACATGTGTGACCGGGATCAACAAGGGTCTAGACACTTTGTCTTGGGTTTGGGAAAGGAGACTCAGATAGCTGTTCTGATGACGTGTGAAATTTCAATTGAGACACGTTAACGTCTGTGAGAAAGGTCTTAGGTTTCATTTGTTGAGTTTGGAATGGCCAACGGTCGAATGCATGATGTATGCAGGTCTGCGTATGTGATTCAAAGTTAATGACACCAACGGTTTTGCATTTACGGTCTATTGCTTTATCGGGCTATTGGTCTATTTGAAAAGCGATGTGAAGAGGGGGTATCAAGTCTATTGATTCCGAATAAAATGAATCCCAATGGGAGATGAGAGACCAAGACAATGTCTCGACAAAAACGCCATGCGTGCAGAGGACCTGTAAAGCCAACAGGTCCTCTATCCAATCTATAGATGAGAACATGATATGATATATAAGGGATTTTGTTTCCCATGATGCCATCCGCTGCAGAACAAAAAGTGAAAAATGACAAGTGAAGATGGAAGATGCTCAGCCGAAGACATCCAATAAGAAAATAAAAAATAACAAGGAAAACGCCGGTTTCGTATGCTTTCAATGCATCATGCTCTCATACACCGCCAGTATAAACGCTCGACAAAGGCTAGAATAAAGTCGTGGGATGCAAGTATTTCATGCAAGGTTTGTTGAGATGAGAAGTATCGTTGAGGGGGTCGTGGTTGTCGTGAGTCAGGAGGGGATGTTTTGTATATGGCGACAAGAGTGGTTGAAAAGGAAAAGATGTTTAGTCGTCAAGACCAAGGACCTTTGGATCGCGGGGGCCACCACTGCTGCCTCCAGTGGAGCGCTTCTTAAAACCAAGCTTCATACCCATCTTCTTCCAAGGGTTCTCGGTGCGAAGTCTGGGGCTTTGGATAGGCAGATGCGGCTCGCTAGCGGGTGGAGTGGTGGGCGGCGTCATGGGCTCCTCGGCAGTGGGACTGGACTGCGGGGAGGAAGAGTCATCGGTCAGGGAGAGGTAGGATGACTCTCCACTGGTGCTTAAAAGGGCTCCGGAAGTGCGTTTGCCGATGGCATGCACGGGGCCAAGAGACATGGTTGAGCGGCTGTGACCCGTTGCGGGAAGATCCTTGGTAGAGGACTGCGGGGAGATGCGCTTCGACACACGCGACCGCACCCTTTTCATCGGGTGCTCGTCCAGGCTCGTGGATGATAGACTCATGAAGTCGTCGGGTCCCATGAAAGGTTCGGAGGGTCCCATAGACGGGGAGGTGGTGTGGCTGTTGACGAAAGGGAGGAAGATAGATTCCTCCATCAAATCGTGAATGCGCTTTACGGCGGAATCCAATGTCTCGGGCAGGGGAGGTGTGGACACGTTCTTGTACTGCAAAAGTGCGTCTCGGACTTCGCTCGACAGGTTGATCTCACGAGGCGACCCCGGGAAGATGTATGCGGTCAAGAGGCGTTTCCAGAGCATTTGCAGGTGCTGAGTGTCGGAGCATTCCGATTCCAACGCGGCGTGGCCGAGTCGTTCGGCCAGTGCGTAATAAGAATCCCGGTATCGGTTGGCCTCCATGGTGAACTCCAACGTTTCGAGACAATGATTTTGGGAGAGGTAGGCCATGAAGGCGCTCAAGGTATATGGGGGTGGAGCAATGTTGGCCAGCACCTCGTCGAGCGTCGGACGCATCGAGAAGGCCCCCGACGAGATAGCCAGGCTGGCCGGCCGGGAGCCAGATGATTCCATGTCCTCTTCGGAGTCGCTGTCTGAGGAAGTGGGAGACAATTCGGGGGTTGCGGTAGGAGTGTGGTTCCGGAAGAAGAGGGACGGTGCCAACGTCTTCTTTTTAAGCATAGCGTATAGTGTGCGTCGGGGACCCTTAATCGGCTTTTTTCTCACCGGTCGTCCCCTGCGTGTGGGACGAGGCTCCAGCTTGTTAAAAGAGCGGCGGGTTATCGGGGTACAGGCATATAGGATTGGGGTAACAGGGGGATGTCAAGAGGTCAAGGACAGAGAAGAGCAATCTAAAATGGATGAGTGAAAAGGCGGGAAATGTTAAACACTAAGAATGAAAAAGGGTAAAGATTCTGGAATGATTCATGACGATACTTGGGTAATTGTTACGGGGGGGGCACCTCAGTAGACTCCAGTGGATCGAAGTGGATCTGCGTGGTGACGCTAAACTAGTTTCTGCGCCCAAGTGGAGTCTTCTTTCGATAAGATGTCATAATTGTTTTTCCTTTTTCTTTTTCTTTTCTTTTTCTTTTTTTCTTTTTTTCTGTTTTTCTCCATTTTCCTCCTCTTTTTCTCTTTTCTATTTCTCGATTCGGCTTTTTTGAATTCCTTTTTTCATCGAATTTCCTGATTGGTTCTTCTTTTGTCTTAGTATGGAAACATGCTGAACTCTCACGTTTGAACAAGCGCCTACGATCTGCAAGGGATATGATGGAAAATGTAGCCTAGAGTGTTGACATTATGAGAATCTCTACTATTGTCCTTCCGTACTCCGTCCTCCCCATTTGGGGTATGCCTGGAAAGATGCAGTATTATGTAACTTGACGGGGACCTTGTTTTGATCACTCCACAATCCTTCCAGAAGTCATACGTGTAAGCTTCCATGGGTTCTGGAAAAACGACCAATGCGCCCAACGTGGCGACTTCAAATTTTCGTTCCCCTGAAGCTCCACCGAACACGAGGAACTCGAGCACTTTTGCTCTGCTCCAATATACGTTCATCTTCAACTTCATCTTTCCGATATCAATTCTATCCGTATCTACTTCCTAATTCACGATAGTCTCTTATCACCCGGCCGCTAGCACGCCATCCGAGACCGGAATGTCAATCCTCGACCCACGGTTCTATGTGTAATAAATTACACGATAAGGCCGTGTTACGACATTCCCTCCCTTACATTGTCTTGCACGTCATGCTAACCTTGGAACCTCTCTCTCCCCATGCCCAAGGTTATCATCTGGGAAGGTCAACCGTATCAAATAACAAATCTCACACTAGTGAGGGCTTATATTCAATGCCAATCTGGCCCTGTCGATCATTCCGTTCAACATCCGTACGGAGTACTCCGCACACAATCTGTACACGGAAATGTCACACAAGCTTTTCTCGGATTGAACGTCACAGGGATTCAAAAGAAGACAAAGTCTTGCTTTGGTGGAGGCGAATCGTAAAAAAAAAAAAAATATATAGTCGGAGTACTCCGAGTAAATCGACCGAATTTTCATAGGTTCTACAACAGATCGAACACACTATGTTCCGAAGGATTCAATTCAGACTGCATGCGGAACTGCCCAGACCTTCTAGAATTCTAGAAACCCCCGAAGCACAATCCACTCGATCGCCACATCCGTAGAGAGCAGAAAATAAATTAAAAATGATCTGACCACCCCTGAACGGACTCAAGTTCCACACCCAGTCACCCGTGGAATCAGAGTTTTTTTTCGTCGATCCGGGTGTCGCCACTCTATCTAGGCATGATTCAGGTTCTCGTAGAACGCCATGCGATGCCAAGAAACCACCTTCACACTTGAGAAGAGGTCCTTGTTGATACAAATGTTCGGCCGAAATGATGGGCTCACCTAGAAAAGTGGATGATACTGCCGACTCAAGAGCCAAGACTGACGAGATCTCGGAGGATTCAGGCACCTCCGGTGTACAATATCGATCCACTTGATAAGAAGATGGAGTGTTATCATACGGATTACTCCGTCCCACGCATGATTCAGACATAGATGTCATAGACTTTTGTCTACAGAGCTCTAGGCCGGGATAAGGTTACTGATGAACATGGCTCTGGGAAGCTTGGTTCGCTTAAAGGAATTTGACAACCTTGGGAATGTAGATATACACAGTATATCAGAACATGTATGTGATTTCGATGCTGATTGGACTGTGGATCCTGATCTTCGCCATCTCAAAATCGCATCACCTCACGGAGTATATTATCACAACATCGACGGTCAGATCGCAACAGTCCTTTTTGCTTTCTAGAGGCACAGACCGTTAGAACCTGCCTATGGGCAGAAGAATATGCTGTGCAATCGAACAAGAGAACATTATACGTACTACTCCGTACATGCAGCTAGATAGGTAAACCGACCGGCATCAACCATACGTTATAACATGCAATGCAGTAAAAAGCAAAATGCATGCCAACCCCAATAACACCTCGACACGATAACACTACCGCTATCCAGCAAATGTACACCACGCGTCTATGTTGTATTCAGGACTAGCAACCAAGTGAGACCCTCGGAGCCTGCGTATCAAAGATAAGCCCGGGTCCCAGGACAGGGATGCCTAACATATCCCAAAGCCTGAACGGCACCAAGCGCCTAACATCCCCCCAATATTCGATGGGAGAAAGGACAAGAGATCCACTCCCCCCGTTCCCCAATGTCCGAGCAACGTACCCCCACATCGGTGCGCACGGGATCGAGGTGCGCCCTTACCGTGACCGCGTTGGCTTTTCCCCTTTCGCATGGAAAAAAAGCGTCTAGAACGGTTTAGCGAGATGTGGATCTATGTGACTCTTCTCTTTTTGTTCAATGGGTATGTATGGGGTACATTTCCATTAGCGCTACTGTAGGTCCTAGTCCTGGCGGGGAATTATTTTGCTAGTGGGAAGGGGGTGAGGCTTTTAATTTTCCCATTCCCTTGCGCCTTAGTTTTTCTTCTTTTTTTTTTTCGTATGGGGTATTCGGCGCACTCCGGTTTCTTCAGTGTTTTTACAGATTCCAGGGGGATGTTTC